TACTACTACTACTACTACTACTACTACTAATAATAATAATTCATCTAAGAAGCAGATGGAACATGAATATCTCATCACTGAGATTTCATATGTAACTCCGTCTCTTCCCGTACACGCTTCCTAGGCCCCGTTGGTCTAGTCTCTCTTTCTGTCGACGTGCAGCCGCTCACTTCGGACCCTGCTTTTTCCGATATCTCAATCTTCGCATGGCTATGGGATAAAGAGAGTTATACAGCTACCAAACTGGTTTAGGGATTGGTTCCAGCATAATTCGTCGATCGTCCAGTCTTTAGTTCTGCAAGTGTTGCGATTCTTTCTGACGAAGAATGTTATCTTTCTTCTGTTAGTTAATAAGCCGTAATGGATATCAGGTCGGATTAAGGAACTGGAGAGCCGAGTTCGAATTCCAGTCGAATCCATTACATTCACTTACATGCTAATACTCTTGGGAAAGGTATTAATGGGAGGCGCGGTTGTGTAATGGATAGCGGGTCGGATTGAGGAATCGGTAAAAAACTTGGGAGTTCGAATTCCAGTCGAATCCATTACATTCACGTACGTGCTAATATTTTTGGGAATGGTATAAATCCTCTTCTTCTCCATCCAGTTCTATAGCCTTGGATAGCAATTGGTCTATTGCAGAAAGAAATGGCAACCCAGTGTGGGAAAAACCATGTGCCTCATGTATATAGAGATACACAATCGCATAAGCGTGTATCAGTCATGGTACATATCTGATTGAAACTTCTTTACTGGCGACTGGGCTGACTGGAAAGCTCACACCAAAGAAATAATAATGTCATTTTTGGTTAAATATAGACGATTTAATGAAGGTGACTATTTGGCATAAGATGGCGACGACTTACAATCGCGTTCAATGCGTTCAGCAAGGTTCAGTCAGAAATTCAAGTGAATATTACGCCCACTTCCACGCACTTGCTCTTTTTACTCCAAATATGTATTCTCGTCAATTTTAAGAATCCAATCGGGTGTTAATTGCGGTAATTTTCTTTGAATTTATCATCTTTATTTAACTATAGGCAGATTTTAAATCGTTTTTTTCCGAAAAATTTCATATCCGATAATTCATGGATAGCGGTTTCGATTTGAGGAATAGGAAACGAGTGCGGGCATATTTTAGGATTTACGTCTATTTTAAAATCACCATATATTCTGAAGTTTCCATCTGATTTTCACAAAGCTTCAATGAGAGAAACCTATTTACTGCTACCTGGAAGAACATACTTCAAAATTCCATCCTTTACTGTTTTCTTGGCAACAACTAATATTAGAAGACGAATAAGTAATTTACCGTGTTTGCATTTCTTGCGTTACTTTTTTTAATACTAAGTTTCAACATTCTCTTCAGTAGAATTGTACTTTATAACCAATTCCAGGTATTGTATATCTTCCGCCTGCAGTTAGAGGCAAATTATTCTATTCTAATTTTTCTAGTATCTCATATTTATGAGATATATCAACCATACCTTCAATTAAACGTAATTGTATCAATTCCTCCTCTATAGTCAAATCTTGAATTTTCAGTTTCTCAAATTTGTAGAATCTGCTAGCTTCTCTTAATCTGTAACGATATTGTATAATTGAGTCATCTAGTTTCTATTTAACAGGCATAAATTTCGTTATTTCCACTATGACAAGTTTATTTCTAGGTCGTAAATTTGTTTTTATCATTTCTGAAATTTCGACGAAAGTCAAATTCTCCAATTGTTTTCGGTGTGCCATAATAGAAATATTCATTAGTTTCACAAACTGCCGAATTTTTTTCTTTTCTTTTGTTTTAATGTCTTCCATTTTTTACACCCTAGCCTGAACTACAAAACAGCGGATCCAAGTCTCGACAAATTCTGGTACTTATACATCCTATTGTCGACGCCAAATTTTTGGGTGATGCTGTTCTGCAACACGTGATCAGTAGACAATTTTATTTCGCCTGACTATTTACTCTATAATTTATTTCTCCTATAAGCAACATATGCAAATCAGTAAAATCATATTTGCCAATATCATTGCACTTATGAAGAAATGGAAATCCGAGGCAATTCTTGAAAACATAAACGATAAAATCATAGTAGGAGTGCATCAAATACTTGCTGCCACATGACATCGAATGAAAACTCACAGATCCAAATGTAAAATATCAGTAAACATTTCATTAACTCTTATAAAAATATGAACAATAAGAGAAGTGATTATTACGAATAATAATAAAAAAGGAGAAGACAAAGCAGAATAAAAGGAAAAAAAAATGATTAATTTGAAGTCAAGTTTAATTTTTGATGAACAAAACCGTGCTATTATTATTAGAAAAATTAATACGCTTTTATTTTAGTCTTGACGTTCAAAATTAAAACTTTTGCGATCGATTAAAATATTAATCAAATGATATTACAACCCAACAAATAAATTGTTCATATTTCTCAGGCCAATTTTTTTATTATTAATTTCCTGATGATTTTAACTTCCTACATTGATTTCTTCG